TATCTTTTCTCTTCAATCACGCACTCTTCTCTTCTCACACTTCACACTTCACACTTCTCACTTCTCACTTATTTTTTCCCCTTCACTTTGGGTGGTTGCTAAACATTATGCCTAATCACATGACGTGGGCCACATGCATCCTTATTTATGTATTACAATGGATAACGATTGTATCGTGTACTCTATCCTATCAATAAATAATTCAAATGAAAGATGCACCGCAAAAATAAAATATATTATTGCTTAATATAAAAGTAATTTGCAATTAAGTTTAAAATCAGCAAGTAAATGAATTACCTGGCCGTTTGGTATGTGGCTTTTCTCGGGAAACTGATTTTTTTTAAATTTTAAATTTTTGGATATTATCATAAACTGAATGTAAAAATTATATTTTTGAAAATCAAGACTCCCGAACAAAAAAAAATTCTCCTCTACCAAACGCCCCCTAATTTAGGGTGTATTTGATACAAGTATTTCAAAAGGATTACTGGTAAACCTTCTTTGGTAAACCCAATTACCATGTTTGGTAGAAGAAACAAAAACCAATTCCCGGATATTCAAGGATTACCGGTAATTTGATTTATAAAGAAAAATCACTATTCAAATTACCAAAAATAATATGGTAATTCAGAATACCAAGTAAAGGGAAAACACAACAATAATTTTTGAGACAAAATTACCCCAACACACATAAAAACCTAGACCTAATCTATCAATTACAAAAGTAAAAATAGTTGGATTATTTTTGTAAAATAACCTTATATTCCAAGTCATATTTCGTTCTAAACCAAACATGGAATCAATAATGTTTATCTAATATTTTCGGTAATATTTGGGCGAACCAAACACATTTTTCGTAAGATTCCAAGTAAACTCAATTTCTATTGTATTCCCATTAATCATGATTCCCGGATACCAAAAATTTATCTTGTACCAAACACATCCTTACATTGCCATTTTCTAATAGTTTTTGTTTTTGTTGGGTCTTTCTTCAAGTCTCAAGACATGAGTTTCATGATTTCATTTGCCACTTTCATACTGATCCATCACAATTGTCTGCTAGACTGATCGCTCATCGCTTCATTATTCGGTTTTGGACTGCAACAATAGATCAATCATCAACAGATCAATAAAACGTTTATGTAAACGTGCGTGTCAAATTCTCAGCATTTTTTATCTAGCAGAGTAGTGTCGTGTAGGGAATACGGCTCAAAAGTGCAACTTTCGGTACATTTATTTTGTGATATATGGATAAAAAAAATTATATTATTTAAAAATTAAAAAATAAATAAATGATAGCTGATCATATATCAAAAAAATAAACGACAGATGCAGTGTCATTAAAGTTTTATCCCTAACTAGCGCATTACGCGATCGTACTAGCACCATTCAGCAATATGATAGTAGATCAATCGAATGTCTCACACAATTTATACACAAAACAACGGAACAGTTCAGACTGCCATATTTTTGGATATTTTTACTAATATGTTACTCCAATAATATTTTTTACTAGATTATCACGTGTTGAAGTTCATTATGACCGGTAACTTGATAACGAATGATTTCGTGAGACGTAACACACTTTTCGCAAAAACAGTTAACTGTCACGCATATTTTCGAAGGAAAAGCTGACTGGAATAAGTTTATAAGTTTGCTTTCACGGATAGCGAATTTGGTGTGTTATAGAGCCGGTCAAAATTAATGTATCAATCAGTCAATCACAATAAAAAGAAAGAAACCTAATGAAAATAGCTATTTAATTAATGTACCAATTACAATTAATGTATCAATCACCAATCACAATTATTGTATCAATCATCAATCACAATTAATGTACTACTGATATTAACTTTTGATTGTACCAATCACAATTAATATATCAATCACCAATCATTTTGGAATGCCATAACTTTTGATTGAGATATCCAAATCAGATAATTTTTTATTGGGTTCGCTTTTTCTGCAGTTACGGCAGATAAGTTATCTGCAGTAAGCTCAATACGACGTCGTTTTGGGGCAAAAATCATGGTATTTTTGTAATTTGAATTTATTTTAGGGTTATAATAGTCTTTATATTTATAATTTTTTAAGATTTCAATACCAAAACGATGTCGTTTTGGGAATAAATGCAGATAACTTATCTGCATTAACTGTAGAAATATTTTTCCCTTTTTTATTTTATATATTTCACATAATTTTTTGAGATCTACATAATGATATCTCATTTAACATATTTTATCTCTCACAAACGTCATCGTTCGAACTTGTAACAATGATATGACAAACAATTAAGGCTCGTTTGGTGGATAGGATAAGATAAGAACGAATAGGATAAAAGAGTTGGATAAGGGTAGGATAGGATATGGGGCTGATAAGCCTATGTCATGTCCTGTGTTTGATGAGCACCTAATTAGCAATCTGATAAGATTATGTTATCCTATCACGTGTTTGAGGCGAACCAGATATCATCAGGATATGATACAAATAGACTAAAATACCCTTTTTAACATAATGTCATAATTTATCAAAATCTAATTTTTAAATTTTTTAAATTTATTTATACAATTCTAACAATTATAATTTTAAACAAAATATTTTTAATTAACTTTTTCACTCTTAAGACTTTTTCTCTCTCTTCAAGCGAGTATTTCCCTTTCTTCTTCCATCACTTATGTTCCTTTCTTAAGTTTCTTTCTTTTGTTTCTTTTTTAAGTTCCATTGGCCAAATTTAATCACAAGAGGTTGTTGATGATTCGGTCTCCGCCGACCACCGCTTGAAGACTCTTCCTCTTCTGCGTTTTTTTCTCCCAAATCTAAGTTGCCATAAATCTAGATTTTTTTTCCACCTGAATCGCATCAATGGTGGAAACGTTTGTTTCCACTAATCTTATGCGTTTACACGTCGATCCCAACCAGTTTGAGAGAAAAAACGATATCAAGTATGATTCAGATCCTGTTGGGTAACGTGGGGATATATTGGGTACCCAATATTGATATCCTGTCCTGTTGAATCCTAACTCAATTCCCCCCATAGGATAAGAAATCATGTATTGGATAGGATAAAATGAGACAATAGGATAAGTTAATCATATCCTATTGACCCACCAAATAAGAGATAAAAGTAGGATATGATAAGTTATCCTATTTTATATTCTTTATAAGGTGCTCCAAACAGGCCCTTAATGTACCAATCAAAATTAATTGTGATTGGTACATTAATTGTGATTGGTACATTAATTAAATAGCCATTTTTTGCGTTGTCTTTTTTTATTGTGATTGGTACATTAATTCTAATCGGGCAACGAAATTGTGCCACATAGCACACCAAGTTCGCTACCTCTAGTAGCGAACTTAGTCCAGTCAGCTTCTCCTGCAAAGTGTGCCACATGTCACAAAATTATTAGCTACCAAGTTCGCTACAAATTGTAGTAAATTTCAACGCATGACAATATGATAAATTTTACTATTCGCGTAACCGTTTGGTATATAAATACTAAAAACATGACACATTGGTCACTTTTCCCAAAACAACGTAAGTACGAGGTTATTAATAACAACTAGTGCGTCAACATTAACCATTTTAATTTTACAACAAATTTTTTTTTTTTAGTAATTTTAGAACATTTATTTACATGTCCTAATTTAAGTTTGTAAAGTTTATATCGATATTGTTCCGTCTATACTTAGACAAATGTACAGATCCGCCTATAAATTAAATGATCACAAGCATTAAATTGATATTAATAACTATGCAGTCATGTTGAACCGTGTGTGAAGTACCAAATCTAAGGAATATATGTAAGGAAAAGGGAAAGGGTAGGAGGAGGTGTATATGTAAGGAAAATGAAGAGGGGTTTCGGATACAATATTGCCACATGGCATTTCAGGTAATTTCTTTTTTATATGGGAGACATTATTCCACATTACACCATGTAAGCTACCACATGAAATAACGGTTTGTATAATATGCAAAATAACTCCATTTTAAAAAATTATATTTTTATTATATTTTTTTCTCAATAAAATGGTTTTTTCTCTCAATATTTTGATGAGTAATTTAAAAGAAAATATTAGTTTAAGCTTTTACGGTGTAATCGTGGTAACAAAAATTGAATTTTGTTTACTTTATATTTAAAAGCACAAATTAGCATTGTAAATTTAAAATTCATTAGATCAACTATTTGTTTAATATAAATAATTAATAAAAAAGGACTTAAAATAACTGAACACATGAGAGGTTATTATATATCTTTATTAACAACATTTTCTGTAACCAAAAAATCAAATAAAAATAACATCTACGTATGCCTATTTTATTCTTGGGTTCATCTAATCTCATGTTGTATGGGAAAAGATCTCTCATGTTGTAGTCACACATGTGGTTGGCTCCGCCATTTACAAAAAAAAAAATCACAATTTTCGATGAGTCTATTAGAGATAAAACTATTCTTATTTTACATATATAAGAATAGTTTTTCTCTTTATTTTTATACAAATACAGGATCAAGGCAAAGAGAGAAAAAGCTTTTGAGGGGAAGATTTAGGGATTTGGATGAGCTTTTAATTAGTGAAAAAGTTTTTTTTTTTTTTTTGAAAAAAAAGCACTTCTACAATAAAGTCAGTTTGGATGTTTAAATATTTTTAAAAAAATAAATAAATATATATTTAAAAATTTAAATAGTCTTTAGTTTTTATAAAAAAAAACACTTCTACAATAAATAAGCTATAAAAAATAACTTTTTTTATAAGTCAATCCAAACGGGTCTGTCTACAAATAAGACAGACAATAAAACCCCTATAAAATCAACATGTGGCAAATTTATCGGCGAGGATTAGGGAGAGCACCAAAATTTATAGGCCAGAATCTTGATTAAGGCGTCTGTTGGCATTTAAAATGAACTTTAACCGAAATCATCTGAAAATTTCTCAAAAACATTTAAAATTCGACAACTATACTCTCCTAGGTTGGTCGTTGTTGCTAACTAATAATAACAGGCGTGACGATAGATGTAAGGACTCTATCCAATTATAAAAGCTCTAAATATTAATATTCTTGGCTCTGTAAAATCTACACATTTTAATATCGGTGGCAGGTGGAGTAACTGTAGTAGTAGTAGCAGCAGCACCAGAACCCATAGCTTTGCAGCTACAAGCTTGGTTACTTTGTAACCCTAAACTGTAACACAGACACATATCTTGGCTACTAATAATGTTCCCACACCACGTGTACATAACTTGTTGTTGTTCTTGTTGCTCTTGTCGTTGTCGTTTTAACATGTCTGGGTTCATGAAATTAGAATCTTGGGGCTGAGAACAGAGGCCTAAGGAAAGGTCCAAGTTGAGTTGATGAGGATAGGCTTCCTCTGTGGTAACACCACTGCTACTATTAGAGTCTTCACCACCTGAAGAATCAGTACCAACAACCTTTACATCCGAATACGCACTAAATAACTGAAAATCATTGTTCTTGTTAATGTTGTTGTGGTTGCTGCTGCTATTGCTGTCATCGTTACTTCTTTTCTTGCTTGTGGTGGTGGTGGCTACAGGAGAAGGTGGTGAAGCTGTGGTGGTGGTGGCGGGAACGATGGCTGTGGAGGAAGTTGTGATGCTCTTGAGTGGTCGATGGGTTTGGGGGTCGATTCCACGATTATAGAGTTTACGCTTGATGTGGGTGTTCCAGTAGTTCTTGATCTCATTATCGGTTCTTCCTGGTAACCTCGCAGCTATCAGAGACCATCTGAGAAATAATCATAATGACAAACATCATAAACCCATTTCATAATTTTTTTTCCATTGAGAAAAGGCAAAAGAAGAAGAAGAATCGTCATGTTAAAGTCTTTTGAAGTTTAGAAAGTACTTTTAATTTGTTTCGACAACATAAAAAAAAAAAAACCCATTTTTTTTTTTTTCATTTTGATGATTTCACACATAAATATACATAGAACTTGGTCATATAGTAGTTGAGCAGAAAAGATGTTAATTAATTAATAATAAGGAAATAAAAAGAGAAGGGATTGTGTTCATACTTGTTTCCAAGTAAGCTATGGAGGTTAATGATGAGCTCATCTTCTTCTTCAGTGAAGTTTCCTCTCTTGAGATCAGGTCTTAGATAATTTATCCATCTGAGTCTGCAACTCTTGCCACATCGAAGCAAGCCTGTATGTGTATACATATATATAATTAATAATCCATTCGAACTATATATTATATATAGGAAGGTACGTACATTTAATTATATAAAGTTGTCGTAGCTATATATATAGGTAGGTATATATGGAGATGGAGAAGCTAGGTGTTACCTGCAGCTTTCGGAAGAGATCTCCAACAGCCTTCACCATGAAGCTTGATGTAGTTGATGAGGCGTTGATCTTCCTCTTTGGACCAAGCTCCTTTGTTTGTGTGCTCTTTCTCACAACAAGGAGATCTTCCCATGTGGACTTAATTTGCTCAACGAAAGAGAGAGAGAGAGAGAGAGAGAGAGAGAAAGAGAGTGAGAATTGTGGAGAATGGAAAGTGGTTATAATAGGGGACAAAAGAGGGTAGAAGGAATATAAATGGGAGGTGGTGGAGAGGAGGAGGTGCAATTGACTCGGGTGGGTACCTTTTTTTCTTTTTTTCTTTCTCGAAGTATTGCAGAGAGAGAGAGAGAGAGAGTATATTTGACCGAGTTGGTGAGAAAGACGAGCGGCTACAATTAACTTAATGCTTCATTGGGTAGGTAGCTCTACTATTCATGTCTTTAAACTTCTTTTCATTCTGTTATCCTCTCCACCCCCCTTTTATTTGCACTTTTACCCCTATTTCTTCTTCTATTCCTACTTTCACCTCTACACCTCTATATTTGTCTACTTCAAATGCTCTTTTATAACCATTGTGTTAGTTTTTTCTTTTATTCAGGTTAAATAATTTAAAAAAAAAACATTTAATATACAATTAGTTAATGTGCTTAAAGCACACATTAACATTTTTTTTTGAGACTCTCCTATTAGTTATTCTGAGTTTCAATTAATATGGGTCAAATTTTTTGTGAACTCTCTTAACAAACAAAATTCTCTCAACACTTATTTTTTCAATTCACAATATTCTAATTCGACATCTTAAATACAATTTTTTTTTCTTTTTAAAATAAGTCTACAAATCTTTTCCTTATTTTCAGCATCTTTATTTTTCTATTGATCCAAAATACATTATTGTGTTTTGACTATTCTAAATATTTTAAAGAAGCTACCCTCGTGGAATTGGTTGGGCATGACCTCAGCTTAAAATTAAGACCACTCGAATTACGTAAAGAAAATAAAAAAAGATTAGACCACTGGCCATTACGATAAATAATCTATATTGCAAGTTTGAGAAAAATAAAAAAAATGATACCAAAGGAGAAAGTAAAGAGTGTCAAGACCTACCAGAGCAAAAGCTTTTTGCCTACATTCACATGACTCAATTGATTTATAAGTTTAAAACCAGGCAACGCCTACCAAACATTTTCTTAGGTACACTTCCAAAACTCACTATTATCTTTGATGATTCGTCTCCCCAACTTTTCATGTGTTGGTCTTCCACCTTTCCACTTTCTTTCTAACTACTTGTTTTCTTACTTTATATATTTTGTTTCATTAAAAATATTTCTAGAAGCATTCTTCAACTTACTCCACTTACTCTCGTCAATTCAGGTTTGATTTGAGTAACTAACTTCCCCTACCATCCATTATTGAGATTAACACTACTACTGCTCGTCAACAGTGTCCTTTTCTTTTAATTCTTCCACCCACTGGGAAAAACCAAAATACAAGCACAATATATTCAAATTGCCTTAACGTTAACAATTTGGCCTATTAAGTCCGAAACCAGACTCAAAATTGAATACATGAGACTTTTAATTAAGTAGTATTTAATTAGTTTAACTATTTAAATTTTTAATTAAATCAGAGACGTAGTGATCAATTGATAATCTAATTAATTGAACTAGGCGATGTATATGATGTGATTTCTAGAACATTGACATGTAGCCATGCATGTGATGTGTGATGTTATGCTTATTCTAATTAATTCACCAAATATTTATTGATGTTATTAGTTAAGAATAGCATAATAAAATATAGAGAAAATAAAACAATACTACACAGCCCAAGAAACTCTAATCCCAAAAAATAAAAAATGGTTTGCCTCTAAGGATGGTCCCCTATATCATGCGACGTGTATGCTTTTTAAGTTAACGTCCCTTGAAAAAAAAAATCGTTTATAATTAAGGAGATATAATGACAGTAATAGTATGAGTTCATCGCAACAACACATCAAATGAATCATTTATTTATTTATTTATTTTATGGGAAATAATTTTCTTATGTTGTAGGAAAATGTTTATCTTATGTTGTAAAAACAAGATTGCAAGTGGGACCCATAGGTAAGAAGAGAGAAAAAAAAAAAGAAATGGGACTCACCTAGCTTTTATGTGTGTAGAAAATGTAGTTATCTTATGTAAAAGTAGATAAATATAACCCTTATTTTATTATATAAAATATCGCCACTGATCAGTATCTTCGCAAATAATTGTCATTTTCAAACTTCAACCAACCTCCTACCGCATCAGACACAGTTATGTCATTTTGAGCCGGCCATGTCAATTTTTACGAACATGGTTGGTAAGCCTCACCCTCCAACCTTAGTTTTTTGTTGCTTCTAGAAGCACTTGGAGAAAAAAAGAAAGATGCATTAAATTAAGGAGAAGAATCTGTGAGGTTGGTGACCCACCTTCTCCCATCCATGGTTTTCCCACCTCATCGATTTGTTAGAGTGGGCCATTCATTTGTGTGCACCTCTCATGCCACACTTCATTCTCATGCTTTTCAAGTTCTTCACCTTATTTATAATCTTATTTTAAAGTTTTGTGGATTTATTTTTTTTATTTTTTTATTAGAGTATTTTGAATATGACCACGAGTCTAGTAATTTGTCACCACTAGCTTGCAGGATTTTCCCAGGTGGGTCCCCAAGAAGATTAGATTAGGATCCCGAAAAAGTGAAATCCAGTATATAATTCGAAGCTGTTCAACGTCATATGGCATATATTCCATAATTAATAAATTGATTATAGAAGCATCCAATTTGGTTGACTCATTCTTCCATGTTGACAAACAAATCCAAGTATTAATGGCTTAATTATCTCTGAATAAAATGCCTAATCCGAACCTTCCATTTAACTTAATATTTTTCCATCTGATAGAAAAATCTTTTACCACACAAACTAGATATGCAGAATCAGATTCCATATTGTTTTTTTTTTTCTTTTTTGTAAACAGAATCCATATTGTTAGAACTAGGGGTGTAAATGGGCTGGACTAGGCTAGGCTTTGACTTAAATAGGCTAAGCCTGTGTAAAAAAACGTTGTGTCTGGCCTAGCCTATTAGCCTGTGTAGCCTCAAATTACAAAACTGTCATAACTTATATTTAAAAAATAAAAGCCTTAGCCTAGGCCTGTTTAAACCTATTAAACATTCAAAAATTAAAAGAATGAATAAAATAATATTATTGTATTATTCAAAATTATTAAAATAATAATTTTATTTATTTTATTTAAAATAAATAATATGATATAAGCTAGCCTGTAGGCTTATAGGCCCGACATGTACAAAAAGGTCTATGGCCTGTTTTCTAAATAGGTTTTTTAAAAAGCCTAGGCCTGTTCTATTTTACTATTTGTAATAGGCCAAGTCTGGCCTAACATAGGTTAGGCTGTAGACCCCTGTAGGCCGACCTAATCCATTTATCCTCTAGTTAGAACTAAAGAGTTCAACTAAATGCACTTTTTAGGTATGGTACGCGTGAACCAAGAAAAAATAAATCATATTGTATATTATATCATTTATATATATGGAGAATTATATCCTGTCCACAGTAAACATTCCTACCTCCAAGTGATAATGTCCCAAGATTTCATAGTGACACATCTAATTACCCCAAAATTTCACTTGGGGCTCGGTAGGTAATGTGACCCATATATATTATAAAGTCCACATCCAAATGATGATGATGTTTCAAATTTTTCAAGCCAGAAATCACTTGGCCATATATTGCTTGGGGTTGTGCGTGCTATATCTACCGTTGAATATAAAGTCTTTTAACATATGCATTCACTATTGTATAATTATGTTGGAGTAGATTATTCTTATCCCCAGTTTATACTTACCAGATCTTATTATCATCACTACTATTGTTGGATCAAATTAAGTTCCAGGACTATTAACTTTTCACTCAACTTCTCTATTAATCTAACGATAATAAAAATAGAGCTTTACTTCTCTCATGTAGTACGAAAGAAGTTATCTTATGTTGTGAGACAAATAAAGTGGAGCCCACCAATTTTTTTTTTAAAAAAAAAAAGAGAGAAAAAAAGACACATTTTTTTATGTGAGTGTAATGATAAACCTTTAGTTTATCTTGTTTTATAGAATAAATTAATATAAATTATCAAGTTGAATAAGTAAAAAACTAGGGTTTTAATACAATAATCATGAACTTTATGAATTATCAATTAAATGATATACATTTGCTATTTTGAAGGGATTTGAAGATAAAAGGAGGAAGAATTAAAGATATGAAAGATGAAGATCAAAACAAGAAGATTTAAAAGATCTCATCAAGATTATCAAGTTGTTAGAGAGAGGGCTCAATTCGAAGCTAAAGCCTCCAAAAATCAGCAAATGGCCTCTGCCTAAGCAAGCTTAAGCCCCAATTAGCAAGCTAAAGCCTCCTGTATAAGAAAATATGTTCGGCCTTAGCAAGCTTAAGCTCGCTCTATCAGGCTTAAGAGCGAGCCAAGGAGGAATTTCAGACGCGAAGAGCGCACTTAAGCTCGCTCCAGCAGGCTTAAACGCGCTATGTGAAATTTTCATGGAATCTTCAGCTCCCTCCAGAAAGCTTAAGCGCGAACGTTACTTCTACATTTGTAAATTAGCAAGCTTAAACGCGAATGAGCAAGCTTAAGCGCCCCAGAAACCCAACTTAGGCCCAATTCGAGTTATTCACTTAGGGCACGATTCTTGGCCATTAAAAAGACATTTGGGGTTCAGAATCAAGAACTTTTCATATTCTAAGAGAGTCTTTGGTACTTGGAGGCAGAGGGAACGCAGAGAAACACTCGGTTCATGTTCGTGAGCGACGGAGACAGATCAACATCAAGTTTGCATAGGGGATATTGAAGATTCACCAATCATCTATGGAGTTTGGGAAAGCTTTTATATTGTCTTTCATTCTTGATATTGTTATGTCTGGCTAGTTTTATAATTGTGGTAAAGGTCACAACCCTTGATGTGAACCCCTTGTAGTTTGGTAGAAGTTTATGTTTATTTATTTAAATTGAATTTATCTTGCCTTGTTCTTCATTATATAATTCTATTGGAACTGATCAATCTATTAGGATTGCGAGGGTTAGGATTTTCATTAGGGATAT